TCGATTTTTTCAATTTGATGTCTGCTTTTTTTTCAGGATGTACTTGGACCGCGTTAAACAGAAAGGAACCAAGCCACATCGGCTATTGCCAAGTTTAAATGGGTAATTTAATTTCTTACATGAAAACGGTCCTGCGGATTTTCGTGCAAATTGCAGTGAAAATTCTCCATAATTTGAAGCAAATTCCTTAAAAATTTCAAAGGAATCCGCACAAACGTTCTCTCGTAAAAAATTGTAGTGCCCAGTTAAATTTGGCAATAGCTGATGTAGCTTGGTTCCTTTCTGTTAAACTCTGTCCGTTCGTAGGCCTACATCTAGAGCTTGTATGTACCAGCACTATAACTAACCCAGGAGAGAAAATCGGGTCAATGTGACCCGGCGTGGGATATCTAGGAGTGGCCGTCGAAAAAAATTCCCCGACACGCGATTTTTTCCAAGATGGTTTTAAAATTTCTGATGGAACGCCCATATCGCAGAACAGAGTTTCCCCTTCTCCGCTCGGTTTGAACCGAGGAACAGTGGTTTCAGAGGTCTGTAGTTTGGAATTCTATCGAACAAATCTCCAAAGAGGAACCAACTCAACCATATCGATCGATCTAGCCTGAAAAATACCCGGTCAAATGATGACTTGGCAACCATGATCGATGCATCAATCAGCCAAAAGCAGATCACAAGACTATGAGACTTGTATTGCCCAATTTATGGACGGAAGCTCTTGTGGCTTGAAAGATCCCCTTCCTTGCAGCCTCGAGCCAAAAATCTTCGCCTCCCTTCCCTTGTGAAACATCTCATATAGCTTACTGAATCTTAGATTCAATAAGTAAAAGGATTAATGAAAGATTTGCCAATTTTTCTCTTCTTACCCAGCGCCAAAGAACATCATTCGTCGTCGAATCTGGGTCCCCGAGTATTTATTTTGTTTTTATTGCGTCAATGAGGCCGAGTTGCGATTACCGAGGTTGCCTTTCCGTCGAAAAATGTCACTAATAACGGTGCTTCATTGCAATGTTCTGTTTTTTTTTTTTTTTTTTTTTTTTTTTTTTTTTTTTTTGGTTTTTTTTTTTGGTTTTTTTGGAGAAAGCGCTTTACAAGAATTCAGATTTCCCCATGATTATGGGAAAAACGGTAAAAATCACAAAATAAAATGACAACTTAATTGGGGAAAGGGCTGCAAACACGACAAAGGATAAACAAAAACCCGGAACGTTTCAAAATATTAACAATTTCATTTTCAACCGGAAAAAATTAAAAATAAAAATGAGCCGTCGATTCGCTTTCATCGCGAGACCGAGACTGATCACAAGGTAAACAGACTCGGCACAGTGCAGCAAAATCAAAGCAGGCAAGACCAAAAAAAAATAAAATAAAATAAAAACGTGGTAAAAATCTCTTGGTAAAATCACGAACATCTTTCCTTGCAATTTTTAGATTCTTCAAATTAAATCCACATTAGACTTGTTTAAAAATACCCGAAGACAAGTTCGAAAAGTCTGCAAATTTAGTTTTTACATCTAAAATTGCAACGCCAAATGCTCATATTTTGAACATATTTAGAACATTTTTCGTTATAGCACGATTGTAGTGGATTTGTTACAATCTAATGTCAATAATCGTACAGTTACCCTAACTAATAATTTGGAAAAAAAGAAAGGAAGAAATACTTCGGCAAAGATGATAAGGAGTGGGTATGCAATATTATAGATTCTAGATTAGAGAGATTTTTTGGTAGAGAGATTCCTATTCAAATCACCATAAGCTAAGATGCCTGAGAAAACGGTGGCATCGACAAAGCATAAGGCTTTCTGACAAGGACTTAAGCGTTGGCGAAACTACAAAGTGTCTCATGGATTAGTCCCTTGTTTATGTTCATTTTTTACACATAGATACTTAAATTATTATCATTAGTTTTGCATAACGACGGTGAAACTACCAAACCACGTATCTCGGTTTGCGACGTCGCAGACTTCCTGTCATACTTTATTTTTTTAATGAAAAACTACTTAACATCCAGTCTTGAAAATTTCTGTGATTATTCCTCTTTGTGCGGAGAAAATTCCGTGAAAATTTCAAGGAATGATATTGATTTGGTCTACTTCAAAAAAATAAAATGTGAGCGTAGATTTTTAAACACCGCAAACGAGATACGTGGTTTGGTAGTTTTACAGTCGATAATTGCCTTCCTTTGAAGGAGTAGAGTAAAATTGTAAAGTAAAACTTTGTGCGGCAATTTTTTGTTTAATCTGATACTGTGTCCTTTCTTAGCGTAGTTGCATAGTACAATTTGCGGCTATAATTTACCTTTTTTATACTAAGAGACCTGATATGCAGGCTTAAAGCTGAAAATTTTCATTTGATTATCGTACCAAACTAAACGTTACCTGATACAGCTAAGATCTTTACGCCTTATTCATTATTATAACGGATTGTTTTTATCTTGCATAGAATATTCTGCCTCGCATGCATTGCGTATAGTAAACCAATCATTCCATTCAAAATCTGTTTAAATATACCTTTCAAGATTTATGCATGAGTATTTGTGACGTCCGCGAAAACAGTTCCCGAACAAAAAACGCCTTCAATTACTTGTTGCGCAACTGTGGTAGCAGCTCAAAGGTACACGTGCTTTCCTTAAATGCATGATCATTTGCAGGCATTAAATCTGAAGGCGCAACTTGGCCCTCCTCTGCAGCAGAGTGACTGTCCGTGCTGTGAATAATTGTGTCTCGGGTAGTTAGTTCTTCCAGCGCATTATTCGTCACTTCACGAGGCAAGTTGATCGGTTTTCTCACTCGCTTTTATTTTTCTAATTTTTTCTCCCTTTTTATGATAAATTCATTTGTTTTTAAAACAATATATCGAGTCTCAAAAAGTGTCTGACTCTCTTGAGTCTAATCTGAGTTTAAAAAACTATAGGCGTGAACATTCATGAAACATAGGCACGAAACTCCAGTTTCAATCACAGTTGTATCGAATCCATCTGACTTACCAATAGTTCAATTGAAAGATCTAACAATTCTCCCTGTTTGAGCTCTTCTCTGAAAAAATTTCAACTCAAACTTAAGCCTACAACATATGCCACTTATTTAAGTGCTTTGCTCATTAAGTGCACTTATTTAAGTGCTATGCACGATATGTATTTTTTGAAAATACCTAAGGAAAAAGTAAAACATATATGGGCAAGTAAAAACCTACACCCAAAAACGTATTAAAATCCAACAGGTGTATATATAGGTCATTATTAAGGATGAGCATTCGGTAAATACTCAGACACCAGTAACATTAGCGAATATTTATGCTAAAATGATCAGATATGAGGTTGCAAATATCAAGTCAGTTAAATTAAGCTAACCTACAAAAAGCGTGTTTATTCGATAACGAGGAAGTGTTGAGGTTAATATTACAGTTTGGAAAACCATTTCCTCGCTATTGTCCTGGGATCTTTAAATTTAGATTTAAGAATCAAATATGTGCTAATGAGATACAAAGCTTTCAGTGCTAAAACTTCATTGAGTGCGGATAAAAATATGAAGTTATTATTTTTTTTAAAAAAAAAAGAAAAAAAAAGTATAAGAAAAACAGTTCACAGTTTCATATAGAGAGAATTTTAGCATATTATAAAGTGCAAGTTTCCTAGACGTCTTAAATTCATTTTTTCGTTGCCCTTGCTCGAAATGTCAGCTGATATAAACCAATCACATTTTCGAGGGAAACAAGTTGAGTTAGTTAGTTAGTTAATATATTTTAAGACATTCAGCGTCACAGGCTATTAACGTATTTACAGAGAATATACTAATCCCAAATCCAATATGTGTACAAGATTCTTCTTTCAAAAAATCATTTGTAGAATTCCAAGTATGAACTAAAGTTTCATTTTTTTTTTTACTCTGGATGTTGTAAAATGAAACGTTGAACCACTTCTGTGTCCTAACTTGATGTGCTTTGATTCTTCTCTATTAGAGACAGCTCATATCGTACATTCTATTGGGAGTTCGGAACAGGAGCATTTGTTCTCTCAGATGGAGAAACCTTTCCGAACTCCCTTTCCACCACCCCCCCCCCAAAAAAATATAAATTAAACATAAAGGTTAACATGTAGAGTTGGGATCGACTATTTTTTTAAAAATTATTATTATTATTATCATTAAAAAAAGAGGAAAAACCTACTTTATATACAATGCAGTTACTGTATGTATACTTCTTGTTGAAAATAAAAGATGGCAAGCCGTTAAATTTAATAAAAATAATAACAATTCTTGTGTAAGGGTAAGAACTAAAAACGTCTGATACTCTGTGAATTTCCGAATCATTTGATAGGCAAGCTTCAAATTTTCCAAACAAAACTGCGGGTTTTGTATTGCAAAGTAAACCTCAACCACGTTGTTTTGTTTTTCAAAACCACATTATTACAAAAATTACCAAAATTTGGTTCTCGACTTCATTTTGTTGAGATTTATCTCAATGTTGGTGCTGCGTACAAATTTATCTTGTTACAAATCCATTTGATTTATTTCTCCTATTCTTCTCAAAGCTAAAACTATTAGGGGAATGTTCGGCTTGCCCTAACGATTTTGTTTTCTTTTTTTTGTCGCTATCCTGTTGTAGGAAGATTTCCTCCACTTGATGAAATCCTCATGATCACGGATCGACTCGATTTGAATGTCACGGCATAACATTTTTACCCCCCCCCCCCCCAAAAAAAAAAAGATCAGCTAAAAATTGTTCCTGAACTATTTCCATGTTCAAAATCTCCCAAGATCCTTTTCCCGAGATAAATAATTCCTTTTAGAGCTCTTGTGACGGTTCTTTCCGTCCCACTCCACTCACACTCACATAAATGCTTCAGGTTCGTTCATGATTCAAATTTATTTAAAAGGAATGCCAGTGCTGATGGCATTTTTAGGGTTTTCATTTCTTTTAGCGATTGCGAGAAAGAAAAAATCAGCGTCCAAGCCATTAAAATTGAGCAGGAGGTAAGATTTCAGTTGAATAAAATACACACATTTTCCGAAGTTATAGCTATAATATGATGCAAATGCTTAATTCTATTATGAACAATAATAAGTAAATAGTATACAGTATTTAACAAAAATAAAAATGAAAAAAATGACAAATTTTATACATATCAATAAGACACATTTGTTTCACAAGTGTTTTAAGGCTTGTAAATATAAGTCACCTGTTTTACAAAATCACACGACCAACTAGGTACGGAATGTAACACGGAGAGAAAAATTTGCTCGCGCCTAAAATGAAAGAAATCTCAAAGAAGGAAAAAAAACTGTACCGTCATGAAACGTACTTAAATCATGAATGAGAAGATAAAAGATGAGGCGCTTGGGAAAACAGCTGCACAAAACAGAAAAATCGGGAATTTTAAAAAAGTTCTTGAAAGAAAGTAAAGCTTATATTCAGAAGAGGAGGACTGATAAAAGAGTAGTTACACTTAGTGATAGACAAGGGAAAGTTTGACGCATTATTGTATGTGAGTCGTGATTACAATGTACACTATTGAAACAAAATTCCTAACGCTACCTATAAATTTCGTGAAATCACAACTTTTGCATTTACAACATAATGACTTACTTCTCTAAGCGTTTCAATACTTTGTACGGACAAACTTAAGTTCCTAAAATAATACAGGTATGTATCTATTCGACTCATCAAATTTTTACGTAATCAACCTTGCACACTAGCGTTGCCAAAAAAGGGCAAAACGAGGTGATATTTTCCTGTGGAAAGGTGTATAAGTCATGAAGTTTGTGAATTGTGAACTGATAAGACTTCAACATTGTTCTTCCCTTAGGTGCTTACGCGGATCTATCTACTACTTGTACAACTTTCACCATGATGGCATTGCGTATTAGCAAATACTTGGAGGGTTATTGCAATATTTCACAAACGAGCGCATAATTATTCTAAATTTTGATTGATTGTCCTCCAGTGGCAGTAAAGTTACACATACGGCACTGCAAGCTTCACAACTAATTATAGAAACACTAATACTTAATATAAGGTACTTGTAACATGATCTTTCTAAGTATACAAACGATATAATTGTGTGGGATATTTTATGTATAAAAACGTAAGCGAGTGTGTCATATTTTCAGGATAAAAAGTATTTAATCTCCTTCATAATCCGATTACGACTACAATACTAAAACATATCAATTTATACGCGAATTAAAAAAAATTGAATACTTGACTATCATATCACAATTTATCGAGTTCCATCACCTTCGTCGTTTCAATAGGATGAAGACTATTTATATTAGTCCTGATGAATATTTCGTTGATTTGCATTTTTTATGGAACTTTAATAATGGCTTTTTTTCTATGTGCTGACTATAAAATAGAATAAAAAATATTACAAAAAAGGTACGTACTTTTAAAGCTTTTGATTTGTACCACTCTAATCTAAAGCCATGAAAATGTATGAAAAGAAACACAAGAACAAATTGATTCGTGGAAACGGAGACAAAACAGAATAGTACCCTCCTCCTTAAAAAAATATTGAGATTCAAAAGAAAGCGCTTAAAAATTTTAAGTACTGATTTTATGACAATTAACATCAGTCCCTTGGTTCTCGTATAAAAAAGATTTCATCGAACTTTTTTTACTTTCACAACTCGCATTCAGTTTGCGATAAGATCGTGCCAGCTTTCAGCATTGACACTCGATAAAAATAATTTCATTTGTAGGCTCATTTCTATATGTATGTATAGAGCTGCAGAATTTTTTAAAAATGGTTTCTTTTAAGGAAGTTTACGATGTGAATACTTATGAACTTAGTTTTGAACCAATTTTCACATCTTACTCCTATAAACAAAGACAAATAAGTAGTTATTTCCATGAACATTTTTATGTTATAATCAAACTTTTACGTCTCTCGGATTGAATTATTTTATATTTTTTTAAATTTTTCTTTCAACAATTTTAATTTTTTTTTGTTTTGACCTTGTGTCATTGGTCGGAGACATTTCTCCTTTCAATTTGAGAGGTGCCTTGGACGCATTTAAAATAACGTCGAAGTTCCAAATAGATGAAAAAAACAGGGGTCGTCTTTTTTTTGTTAACCCCCGTTTACTCTGTCAGTCTCTTTTGGCCCACATTCCTCGTCGAAAGAGCACGTAAACATTATTGTATCAAGAATTTTTTCGAGGGGAGGGGGAGCAGGGATCCCTCCTATATTGCGAAATTTGTAACCAAAAAAACGTAATTTTCTCCGAGTTTTGGCACTTTTTACCTGTGGTGCACCCTTAAAAAGTCAATTTTGATCTTAAGCTCCCGCTAAAAAGTTTTTAGTGCGCAGTTACTTGTGTTACCAATTCTTTGAGATGCAAGACCAAATTGTTCCTCGCATGATGATCTCAAAGCTCTTTTAAACCGCCTTTAAATGCAAGGTAAATCGTATGGGGCCTCCAAAGAAAAAAAGCTGTTTCAGAACCAACTATGAATACGACCCTAACTGGGGTCAGAGAAAGGGGACCCTCTATTGGTATCTTGGTAATGGTGGGAGCTTTTTTTGACCGGAATCCGACATTCAACTATTGTTCGACCTACTAGGTGGGTGCTTCGTAATGTGTTGATTTCGCAAACAAACCGAAGTTTGTCGAATTTTTTTACCTCGTGACGTCATCCGAAGCTCATCATCCACCTAGTAGGTAGATCAACAGCCGAAAACAGGGTGATGCCTGTTGCTCTCATGTAATTTTGTCCGTGAGAAGAAGTGAAATCCACGAAAGCAAAAGTTTCCACCTTTCGCCTTTACGCAATTGGAGAATCTCTTTGTTTCTACCCAGGGTCCGACCTACATTTTTGTTATCCCATGGGCCTTCATGACCAAACACCCATTCTCACTGCATGAAGGTACTCAAGAACAAATTGCAGGCAAACAACGTGGTTTTAGTTTCTGGATGGCTCTTACACGAGCGAGGAAAATAAGAGACTGTTGAGAGTTGGAGCCACAGAGGGCGCTGCACTTACTGGCAGCCGCACCTGTCGACTACCATGTGGGGGAGGGTGCCGAAGATGATGGACTGGGAGTCGTCGAAGTAGAGCATGGAGAGCGGTGACATCTTCTTGGCCGCGCAGCACGGGCCGTGGTGCTGCGCCGAGCTTGGGGATTGCTTCGGCTGTGCCATTTGACGCACGTGTGTGTGTGGGTATGTCGGCAGGTAAACGAAAGGACACTCCCCTGAGCAGTAGTAGGCCTCGTACCTGGAATAAAGATGAATTATTTGAGACGTTGGTGGTTGCAATTGAGCTCTTAGTAAAGAAATTAGAATGCAGACAAAAAGGATGATTCATTTCTATTTGGCTCATCCAGCTTAGACTTAATGTAGCCTTCGGTATAAAAAAAATGGTGGTTACCTTGTCAAACGGTTCCATGGGACCCTATGAGATTCTAATGAGTCCCCATGAGGATTTCATGTGGACCAATTGGATCGGGACGTGGGAAAACCGCTAATGTCCATTTTTCCAGTCTTCAGTTTTTTTGAGTTGATAATACTTTAAAAGAGTCGATACAACCATGAAAGTGATGAGAGGACACGTTTTGGGAGTAGGATGACCCGGTGACGAACATTAACGCCACTGTCATGGTTTCATCCAACTCCGAAAAGTATTATCAACTTTAAAAAAAAAAAAACTGAAGACTGGGAAGTTGGACATACGCGGTTTTCGCACGTCTCGATTCAATTAGTTGTTTTCCTCGCAAAAGAACGTAACTGCATCCCGCTGCCGCCAAATTAAGCCTCGCCAAGTTTAGCCCCTTTTTTTTATACCCGAGTTGGTCAACCGGACAGCGCTCAAATGAAAGCCTATGGTAAGGCAAACTTCCATGCAAAGTTTCAACTTGAAGTGACCCCTGGTTTAGGCTGTACAGCGTTGCCAATTTTCCAGTTTCATGTGCTAAAATGAAGGATATTGGACTACTAGTCCGGTGCATAAGTAGACTATTATACCCAAGTTAGTCAACGGGACAGGGCTCCAACGAAAGCTTATGGTAAGGCAAACTTCCAGGAAAAGTTTCAACTTGAAGTGAAACCTCGTTTAG